TTTTAACTCAAGTTAGCTAGCCCATGTTAAAATCCTAACGTAGACAAGGAAATTCACTCCTAGGGTTTGTCTTGACTGGCTAACGTATCTTAAGAACACCCATTTCCCTAGAGGAGATATGTCCTAGGGCAAAATACAGCCAACTCTTAGACATATCACACAAAGCTCTTCATAGCACCAAACACCAGTTCTGTCATGTGACTTTTTTAAACAGAACAACAACACAGGGAGCCAGTCACAGTGCCTGCATAGCAGTGGGAAAGACTGGATGCAGATTCTAAATAAACTGGGGAATGTTTGCAATGGATCAAGGAAAGGGAAATTGTATATTTGTTTGTAGAGGCTTGGTGGCTCATTCCCCTAGGGAGAATATATCCATAGAAGCGAGTGTCTAGACCATTGGTTGAACAGAGGCCACAAAGGGGATACACTGCAGGCCAAGTGCCCATTAGCAGATTTTGTAGAACAGAATTCACCAACAATCGCACTCCTCTGCCCCCACCTCTCACCAGCTGGGAGTCTGAGGAATGCAGGCAAGTTGTGTACTTCTCACTCGTTCCCTGATATTCAGGGTAAGGGGAAGAAGAGCAGCAGCGTCCCAGTATGCAGAGCTGAATCCCCCCACCAACCCTCCAACAATGGTGCTCTTGCATTGCACAGGGAGGATGAATTGCTCTGTTAGAGCATAAAAATAGATCATATTTCCCTAAGGAAGTAGATGGGCAAAAAAGAATTTACCTAGGACTTAAATCAACAAAGAATCTGACCATAGGCAAAGAATCAGGCCTGTTAATTTTCACAAAAGCAACCAAAACCCTCAGCATTCTACAGAGGGGCTCTCACGGCCTCTCTGACCAAACTTGCATGTGCTATCTGGGAAGTTTCCCAGGTTTGTTGTGAAAATGACGTGAAGATACACAGTGCCACCAATAGTTGCACCAAAACAATTCTGAGGACATGCCGGTTGTGCGCCAGCTGGCATTTTAAATAAGCAATTTAGAAAATGGACATTTAAGGGGAGCTGCTCGAAGAGGACTTCTCATTGGACTAAATTAATGTAATTTTGCAGGGCTTTTCTGAGCCAAACCTCAATGAGAGCTGTCTAACATTATTTTATCCTTCTCTAATTATACCCTTAAGAAGAAGAAAAAACTGGCCAAACACATCTATGCAAAAAGTATACGTGTTTAGACTATTTACTACATATATTTCTGTTGCATCCTTTACCAGCTTATCAGGTGTCTTCACAAAAGCTTAAATACCACCCTTAAGCTAGTCTTAAAAGTTAGCAGTGTAACTAAAATTGTCTCCCTGAATTGGTATAGTTATACCATGATCTACATGTTGCCAAGCCTGTGGTTTGGAAGATTATTAAAGGAAGATAAGTCAGCAAAGTATGATAGACTAATGCTGTACACTTAACCAGCTCAAACATCTGATATAGAAGTAATGTCTAAGGAGCTTAGTTCACTTTTGTTTGTATTTTCCTAAATTCAATCAAGAAGTTTTTACCACACACTTCCACACATTAAGGGCCAGCTCCAGGATGCACTAAAGATGATGGCAACCTTCCTGTCCTTCCCCCCACCTTCAACTTTGTCTCATCCATGATTTGTCCCTCCAAGAAATTTGAATCAAAACAGGCTGACAATAGAATATTGTTTTCTATTAAGTTTTATAACACAATTTAAAACTTCAATGTAGTATATTTCACCAATAAAATAGGCTCCCCTAAAGCCCTGGAATGAACACTACTGGAATTTGACTATAATAAATCAAATACAGTAGGATTAGGATCTTGAGTTCATGAGAAATACATGTGTAGCTTATTCTTTACTTTTAAAAATGTTGGAAAAATATGGCAAATCTCTATTTTAGTACTACTCTGGATGCACTATTTGCTAGTTACCACTTGTGATCAAGAGCATTTAAAAGTCTTCCAAATAATAATTAAATGATTCTCTCCCACATACGGCTTTATATTTTCAAAATGCTAATTGTTCCTCACAACACCCTTGTGAGGGAGGCTTTGAAAGTGGTATGGTCCCCACTGTAGAGACTGAGTGGACATAGACTCAGCAAGGTAAAGTGACTTGCTCGCAGCAAGTCAGTAACAAAGCAAGACTTATACTCAATAATGCTTAGCACCCTGAGTTGTGCTCAGTATACTGTAACACTCTGCTCCTCCCTCCCGTCCAAAAAACATATGGGGATATATGGGTGGAGAGAGGGGGGCGGAGAGGGAGAAGGAGTTTTTCTTGCTATGAAACATGCCATTTTTACTCCTGTCCCAAGCAGGCTATTGAGCTAACTGGAACGTTACTGGCTGAGTGGATGGGAAGGGGAGAGCTATGTAGACATGATATATCTTAATTTTAATAAGGCTTTTAAGGTACGTCTACACTACAGCGTTATTTCGAAATATCTAATTTTCAAATAAGATAATAAGATATTTCTAAATAACGCATCTATACACAAAATGCATTTCAAAATAGCATTTTGCTATTTTGAAATAGCGCGTCCACACTGAGTGGACACTGAGTCGCATTTAAGGCCAGCTGGAACTGGTTCTGACAGGGCATCAGGTCAGAAGTTACCTTGTGGCCAGGGCTGCCAGCAGGACACCCTGGGAATGGCTGGAGGCCCCCTATTTTGAAATAAGCGTCTACACAGTGCTTATTTCAAAATTGGCATTATTCCTCATGGAATGAGGTTTACCAATTTCAAAATAAGCCCTCTGCTATTTCGAATTAATTTTGAAATAGCAGTTGGCTTGTGTAGATGGTAGGAAAGTTATTTTGAAATAAAGGCTGTTATTTCGAAATAACTTTGCTGTGTAGACATACCCGTAGACACAGTTGTACATGAGAGTCTCAAAAGCAAACTAGGGAAATGTGGATTCAATGGAATTACCATAAAGCAGGTATAAATTGCTTGAAAGGGCATACTCAAAGAGTAGGTAGCTACAGTTTGCTGTCAAGCTACAGGGACATATGTAATGGGATTCTGCAGAGACCTGTCCTCTATCTGGTATTAGTCACTATTTTCATCAATAACTTAGATAATGGAGTAGAGAGTGTTTATAAAAGTTGCTGATAGCATCAAGCCTGGAAGACTTGCAAGCATTCCGGAGGACAGACTACTTCTGTGAGGACAACATGTCAGCAAGTTACTTACTATGTTGGGTTTTTTTGAGACCGTTCCTCTCCCTTGTCCTGGTTCTGACCTGTGGTATGTAATGCAACAGAGTGAAATATCAGATGGGGGGATGTCAACAAGAGAGAGAAATATTGGCTTTTAACATTTCCTCTTCTAGAAAAGATTTTAAAATATGGCAATCCGGTACTTTAATTTAAAATGTTTCTGTCATTGTGTATTTACTACACAATAATTTACACTGATGTCCTACCGGCAGGGTCACTGGCAGGTTGGGGGAGACAAAAGGGAAGTTGCCCTGGGGCTTGGGGCTCCTAGCTGCTGTTACCACTATTTTGCCAGTGGTGGCAGCCAGAGCCTCAGCCCTTCAAACTGCTGCTGGAGTCCCTCAGAGTGTGCTCTGAGCAGCTGTAAGGGCTGGTGGGCGGGGACAGGGAAAGGCATGGCATGCTCTGAGCAGCACTGAGGGCTGGCTGTCCCAGCCCTGCCCCTTCCCACCTGAAGCCCCACTCCCTTCTGGGATTGCAGAGCTGCCCCCCCCCCTTACCCAGGAGCCCAACATGGCTGCCAACCCCCTTGCCTCTTGGCACTAGCTCTGAGAGAATGCTTACCAAATGAACTTGACCAAACCCTAATATTTCTAGTCTTCAGCCTTGTTATGCTGCTAATTAGGAAGTAGGGCAAATCTACTAACACTTAGCACGTCCATCTGTTGCTGACTACTAGTTCACATATTATGAAAATGTGCCAGACAGAATCTCTGTCCAATATGCTTTGCGTTACAGTATGCATATGAAAGATTGTTTAGTAACAGTAATGAAAAATTCACTGGCCTTCATTTACTTCAATATTTCATTTGTGGAGAGGGAACGACCCAGCTCCAGAATAAATTGCCAAAGTAGCTCTGCAGTTTATAAAATAACATATGGCACAAGGAAATTTTCACTCCTTGGCAAATAAATGACCAGATTGTGCAATCATTACTCACCTAATAAAGTATTATTTATTTATTATACTACATTAGAGGAGTTTCTGGACAATACATCTAGGTATCCCCATTGTGCCAGGTATTCTATAAATATATAGTTAGACTAGAGATAGTCACTGCTTCAGAAAGCTCATACTCAAAGTAGAAAAGATAGAGAAAGGGTGCAAGAAAGATTATAGCATGCAGCAGAAGATTAATAACTGGGGAAAAAAGAAATTAAACAGGGTTTTTTGTTTTGTTTTGTTGTTTTGCTTTTGATAACTGCAGATTGAACCTCAGCTACTGAAGTCAGTGGATTTCTGGAATTCTGTGCCTGAGGCAGATGGATATATACTAATTTTCTATTTTTTGTAGCAGCAGAATAGAATAGCATTTTCTATTGAAACCTTGGCACTTTTATAGGGATACCTGGGGAGGCAATGGAAATGCATTTTGTCCTGTACGCCTGGTAGCTCAGGCTACAGAGAAGGAATTTAGAGACAATGTAGGGGAAAGTCAGTGAGGAATAGACCATTTTGAAAGCAAGCAAGCAAATTTTGAAGTACAATCGCTTTGTTTACATTACCTCCCTCATAGTCTATTACCTTTTATCCTCTTCATCATTCTTTGCAAGCACCAGGTATTAGTTAACACATTCAAACATAATCTTCCTTCTGCCTCGTGTAATAAAATCCCATGCAATCCCATCACATAATACAGTGCCTGATGACAAACTGGGCTACTAGTCTGACATCATAGTGTGCTTCACTTCTTATTTTCTAAAGTCAGGTCACAAGAATAATTACTTCCCTACTTACCTGTCTCACCTAGTTGTATCAAATACATTATAAGGTTCAGGACAGCATGGAGTTCCTGAAATTGCAGACATCCAGCTGCAGCTGGCATTTGTCAAAAGGAGCAGTTACTAGAACTGTACATTCCTTGCAGAGCTCTCTTAGCCATATAAGGATTATTTTTATCTGTGCACAGCACCCTGATAAATACTAGGATTTTGCATTCCACCAAAATCACCTAGATTCCTGTGTTTACCACAAGCTTGTGCTCTGGAAAGAGAAATAACCGTATTCATCAATACATATGGCATGCTTACTTCATCAAGAAAGCACCTGATTCAACATGAAGATATTAATTAAGGTTACATGAAAAGTGCCTAGTTTTTAATGCGTGAACCAGAAGTCTCATTCATTTCAGAAGAACAAAAAAGGAAGGCATGAATATAGAACATTAAGTTAATAGGATTGAGGCAACAAGCACACATTGCTTTACTTTCAAGCTCAGATAAGAGAAATCTATATTTGAGATCAGGCAAGGAAGCATTTCAGTTACATATGTGACCGCTACGAGTAGTTGCTTAAGCCTATGATTTTCAAAACTGAGTTCCCGATGTTACGTATTTATCTAAGTAATATTTAGCCACCTGAATAAGCTGTCCAATTTCCATAAGAACTGGGCACCTACTGAAATCTATGGGAACTACTAAAAGCTTAGGATTTTTTTAAAATCAGGCTATATTTCTCCCTATTGACTAAAAAAACCCACTGGTTTATACAATAGACCAAATCCAGCCTGTTTTATTCATGCCACCAGTGGGACTACTAGTATGAATAAGACAAGAAATGTTTGGACCTGTCCTTATATGCATTCACAGTTTGGCACCAGCCTATTAATATGAAATCGTTGTGGGGTTTTCAATGCAGACTGCAGAGATGCCCTTTGTTCAAAACAGCCTATTTATTTTAAAGAACCTACAGATAAATCTGACTCTGACAGACAGGCTCTTGCAGCTGCATTCCCAAAAGCAGGAATAAATTGCCTGCTTCATTAAAACGGGTTCCTGCATCAATCGGTGTTAAGAAACTTTTAATCCATTTTACTTTCAGATTTTTGATCATGATAAATGATTGTGTTACTCCTCAATCTTGTCACAAATGATGCATTGTGGGGCCTGCATAGCGCTAGTCAGGAATGTTCTGGGAGAAAATACTGATAATAATGAAAAGTTTTGGAATTTAGAGCCAGATCTGAATATTTTGGTTTTTTAACTGACCCAAATATTTTGTTTTGAATCAATTAAAAAAATTAAACTGCATTTCCTATGGCACATTGTCTTATGGGAGCTGTAGTCCTAGCCAACATTCATATTTCCTACAGACCAGGCTCCCTGGAGGAATACTCTAGTTTCTCAAAAGGCAACACTCCAGTTTCCATCTAACTAAGCTGCAGCTAGCAAGGGATGTGAAGGATAACAAGAAGATTTCTACAAGTATTTTAGGAAGAAGGAGAAGGTGAAGGAAAGTGTGGGACCTTTACTGAATGGGGAAGGCAACCTAGTGACAGATGATGTGAAAAAAGCTGAAGTACTCAATGTTTGTTTGTTTTTTTACCTCAGTCCTCACAGACAAGGTCAGCACTGAAATGGATTGCCTATGGTGGTGGTGGAATCTTCATCCCTAGAGGTTTTTAAGACCAGGTTTAACAAAGCCCTGTCTGGAATGATTTAGCTGGGGTTGGTCCTGCTTTGAGCAGGGGGTTGGGCTAGATGACTTTCTGACCTCTTGAATGACTCTTAAATGACTTTTGGCAAATCACCTCATCTCTTCAGTACCTCATTTTCCCCTCCTACTCTTTGTCTGTCTAGTCTATTTACACTGTAAGCTCTTCAGGGCAGGAACTGTCTCTTCCTAGGTTTGTACAGTGCTTAGCACAAAGAGACTGCAACCTCATCTGGACTGTCGAGGCACTATCCTAGAGCACGGTACACAGATACACAAGATATTTTTATTTAACATTTCTATGTTTGTAGGAGGATAAATAGTTTTTTCATGTTTTTATTTGCACTTGTGTGTAAGGAGGAGAAAGTTGTTATAGGAGAAGAGTTGACTTCCTTCAAAAACAAAAGCCAAAAAGATAATGATGCGCTGAGGCTGGATAACAACCGATGTCACCATGTCTCAAATCAATTGCCAGGCAGCCAATGGATGCTTTAAAGGA